GTCAAACAATGACAGCAAAAATTCTCGGTGAATGGAGACTTGAGGCTTACTACGTCAGTCAGTGGATATTGGGAAGGTAACATCGTCCTTGGATTGGTGAAATCAACAGCATTTCGGAACTATTAAAACCACTTGAGTAGAACCCTTGGAATATGTACACATTAAGACTCTGGGTTGATATGAGGTGGTGGTTCCTCATCCCTCGATCCTGGGGCATTTGTAAAGTTGTGTGTGGCTTCCCCCTTTGTCTCAGCCCTTCCTCCCAGAAATAATACAAAGAAATAACAAAATTGGAAACAATGAGTTCACCCAGTTTTCCCTAATACTCAATTCTTCCCACCATGATCAATCATGTAGCCATAAAAAACAAAAGTATTTAACAAAATTAAAGTTTGGGTTTTATCTTGAATTCACTGAGATTAAAGGCCACTTTATTCACATTCACCATTTAGAAACATAATTCTGATTGTGATGTGGTACATGGATGGTGCAGAGGATGAAAAGAGGAAATCTGAAGCAACAAAACTAGTCTCAATGTTGTTGCAGTTACTCAGCATCCCCCCCCCCATGATGTGCGTATCAAGGTTTAGTAAATTTAAGGATTGAGAGTAATGAATGGATGAATCTCAGAGATAGTGAAACACCAGAAGACACACAACTGGTTGGTTTTGTTTTTCTTGGGCCGCCCTTTGCATGACACCATTCACTAAAAACAAAAACAAAAACAAAAACAAAAGCAAAAATAAAATAAAATAGAAAGCAGGTATTTTGTGGGAAGGTACATTATGACTGAATATTTTGAACTTTGCATATCTGTGTCACATTATAGACATCTCAAATAGTCTCAAAAATGTTACCAGGACAAATTGGACTGGAGATAATAATATAGGAGTCACCAGTAATTTGGCATTTGCTTTTAAATTCACAAAGTAGGTAAGATCTCTCCATGAATGTGTAGAACTGAGATAGAGAAAAATAACAGTGATCAATCCCTTAAAGAGCTGTGCGGATGTTTAAGGAACAGGACAAAAAGAGTAGTAGAGCTAGAGTGGGAAGGCCAGCCAGGAGGGTGAGAGGAATCCTAAAATCCAAGAAAATGAAGACCTGGAAGAAGGAGATTATAGTTAACAAGTTAAAAATGGAAATGCTTTAATACTTTAACATTATTCTTGGTAATTGTGATTTTTGATGAGTTTACCCCAATTTTTTTCTTGCAAGGTTAAGAGTCCAGAGTGCATTCAAAATTCAAAAATAAATGGGAAATGAAGATGTAATGTAATTTAATATAATGTAGAATAATTCCTTCTTAAACTTTGGGAAAAATTTCATTAGAGTATGGCATGGATTTGGAGAGCAATCTCCTTTGAAAGCCAAAAAGATGGCATTGTATATAAATCTTTTGAGAAGTTACAGGTAAAAAATAAAAGTGGTGAAGTAAATAATGAATTAAGACCCATCAAGTGACCGGTGGATAAGTGAGATACAGGATGCAACCTATTCGCATTTCTAGCTGTTCAATACCAACACTTTCTGCATCTCTGATGCCTTGAGATGCAGTGTATGAGAGTGTGTCATCCTCAGTTAAGACCAGTACCGTTTGATGCTCATACTAGCACCTTACGGTCTATTTTGTTATATATTTTATTCCCAGTTTTATCAAAATGAATTGATGAAGGATTGAACAATGCGCTTAACTTGCATGGCATGTAAATACAGTCCCGAAGATTTATCTCATTTGTGAAAAAAAGGCACTAGTGGAGTGTCATAGGTAATAATTCTCTTAGCCATGGACACATTTTCTATTCTTGAAATTTGCATGTTTTAATTTTAGATATATTGAGCCTCTCTCCTTTAAAATTACTGCATTTTAAGAAAGCTTGGCAGACATATAAATTTGTGTATATTTATGGGGCATCATGTGGTGTGTGAATATATGCATGGAGTAATACACAATCAGTAAATATATCTCTGCAAACATTTAACACTCCATTAAAGCATCAGCATTTGAAACCCTGTCTTCTACTTATATATACATACAGAAAAATTAACACGTGTTGTCACCATGTTGTGTTCTTGTTACTCCTGTCCGGCTGTGGCCTAACATTCATTCATCAAGGCTTCTTCATCCATCCTTTCTTTCTGGGGTAAAATATTTTCTCACGCTGTTTCTATTATTGATCATCATCATCATCGTCTGACATATCTACATTTCCTCGCTTTACACTGTGTCCTGTGTTACAATTCAGAAGCATGTACAGCTTGAGTAGATTTGGGCTTTTATAATTATTGCCTAACTGTCTGTGACTGGTTTTAGATAGTCGAGGAATGCATCTAGAATATTTACAGTGCGTTCTTGAACATCAGCATTGATTTGTATTTTGCATTTTTTCGAGATGTTCAGAACATCTGCGAATTAGAAACGGAATATTAAACAGAAGAAAAGGACATCAGGATCTCTGCATTCCAAACCCAGACATAATTATTTATCATATCACCTTTGACATTTATTACAATTTGTTTATCATATTCCTCTTTTAAAATGAGTTTCACCAGGCCCAATGCAGTCGCCTAGTGGCAAAATTCCATGCCTTGCATGTGCTGGGATCCCATATGGGTACTAATTCATATCCTGGTGGCCTCACTTCCCATTCAGCTCCCTGCTTGTGGTCTGGCAAAGCAGCTGAGGATGGCCCAAAGTCTTGAGAATTTGCACCTGCGTGGGAGACTCAGAAGAAATTTCAGGCCCCTAGTTTTGGATCAACTCATCTCTGGCCGTTGCAGCAGACTGGGGAGTGAATCAGTGGACACAAGATCTTCCTCTTTGTCTCTCCACCTCTCTATATGTAGCTTTCAAATAAAAATGAAAATAAATCTTTAAAAAATTGAGTATCATCTTTTTGTTCCTTAAAGTAAAAGTCTGGAAGAGTACATTTCAAGTCAATGTAAGAATACAAGAAAATGACCCTTAAACTCAATAGCTAAAAGGTGGAATCAAAACTCTATAAATAGAAACTTCAAAATACTGGGCATTGACTGCAGGCTATTTCTGCCCCTGGGTTTGATTTGAAGTAACTGGTTTCTGCCCACATGTCATTGTAAAGTGAATTCTAAGGTCGCAAGAGACCGCCTCTCCACATCTGCCTGTACAGCTCTGGTCAGTTGCCCAAGTACCATCAGTGCCCCCTAATGGCTGTTTACAGGGACTGCATGGCTGTCAGTACCTGCTTCTGCAAACAAAATAATCCTGTACTCTTCACTACCTCACAGAGTCCTTTGTGAGAAAAAAGAGTGAGGAAACATAAAATTCATTATTATCCTTCTTATGATTACAACTGTTGAATTCCTGCATCCTCTCTTGTCCTCTTCCCTCCTGGGAACACATAGTGTCTGAAGAACTTCACAAGCAGTTGGGTTGAGGAAAAAAAAAAGCAAAAAAACAAACAAAACAAAAGAGAAGGAAAGAGAAAAAGGTAAATTACAGTCAAGACATAAGCCATGCTATCTGTAACGAGAGCATAACCATGGTTATGAAATTTGTGAGTAATTTACTTCCCACTTAAGCCTACCAAAGTGGGAGCTAATCTTGCCACACAAAACACTAATGAAGGAAGTCAGGCAGCAGTACTGTTTGCCCGTGGGGACTCATTTTTCACAGCACCAAAAACTAATTTCTGCTGTTTTGACCATCTGGTATCCTGGATTTTAAAGATGAAATTTCATTCAGGCAGTGCTTAGGAGCCTGAGCCTGGGAGTCAGGCTGGTTTCAGATTCCTTTTACAGGTCTCCTCTGGTCCATTCAGTGTCATACCTGTAAAAGTACTCCCCGTACTTGGGCCGTCCTCAACTATTTCCCAGGCCATGGGCAGGAAGAGGGATGAGAAGCAGAGCCGCTGGGATTAGAACTGGTCCTCATGTGGGATCCCGGCGCATTCCAGGCAAGGACCTTAACCATTACGCACCAGGCCTGAAGTTTTAAATAAAGTTCACTATTAGCAGTGGTGATGGTAGTATTAATAGTAATTGTACTACAGTGTTTTTATAATGCCTGCTTGTCTGTGATACTGACCTTATTGATTTAGCATTGAAGTTCTAAATTGTATCACCAGTCCTGACTGCTACACTCCAAGAGGGCATTTAGGGATTTCTTTCTGCAGGAGTTTACTCAGGGTTTGCTTATGTGGTCACAACATAAGCACCGTATCGTACTAACCCAAATGTTCAATCTTACACCAACACACACCAATTTTCTTTCCATGACATTTTGAAGCAGATATTACACTATACTTATTATCATATAAATCTATATGTGCACAAGAAAAGAGATTTAAAAACAGTGATAAAAAGATTGCTATCTACGAATTTGCATACTCTAATGTTTAAATGAAGTTTATATAGTTAAGAATGAAGGCATTTTTAGTGCAGGGCTAGGTATACTTCCTCTTGCACAGAGATGGCCACACAGAAAGGTGATTTCTCTTTGAAGGCCTTCCTTGGAACCTCCTCAGAGAATGGACAAGACATAAATGATGATATGGATCTTTACAGCATCCTGGCTACTTAACACAAAATTTCAAATGATGTAATGAAAGATCAAGTTTACCACTTTCACATTCCAGTGCTGCAAGTCTCTTCTGCATTTTTTAAAATATTTATTTATTTTTATTGGAAAGGCAGATATACAGAAAGGAGGAAAGTCTGAGAAAGATCCATTGATTCACTCCGCAAGCAGCCACAATGGCTGGAGCTGAGCCAATCTGAAGCCAGGAGCCAGGAGCCAGGAGCTTGTTATGGGTCTCCCACACAGGTGTAAGATCCCAAGGCTTTCCCTGGTCACAAGCAGGGAGCTGAATTGGAAGTGGGGCTGCCAGGATTAGAACAGATCCCATATGGGATCCTGGCATGTGCAAGATGAGGACTTTAGCCACTAGGCTATGGTACCAGACCATGCAAACCTCTTTTATTGATATGATTACATGTTTCATATGCTTTTGTCTTTACAGTTCCACCAAAGATCTCCAATATCTCCTCGGATGTCACTGTGAATGAGGGTAGCAACGTGACTCTGGTTTGCATGGCCAATGGACGCCCTGAGCCTGTTATTACCTGGAGACACCTTACACCAACTGGTAAGCAACCTTCAGCTTCGCAGGATGCCCTCTGGTGGTATCTCTGGGCTCTGAAATCTCACTGCTTAGAAGAAAAATTAGACTTTGTATTGATAAAACACTAAGAAAATTGCTACTCGGGGTTTAGGGTCTTCATAGTCATTGCCAATGGGTTCAGGTTTATAAAATGTACAACTTTTAAACTAGCTTATCTTCTTAAAGGAAAAAGAGAGGGACATTAAAGGACTTAAGGCTTTATCTAAAACACATCCAATTTTGGCAAGTGAGGGTATTGACACACTTTTTGCATAAATTAAATTTATAGAATTATTTATATTTGCTTATTTTGCTTTACTTATAGTCATCAACATAGCTAGATTATCTCCTAATTTTGACCTTTGTATAAATGGTATACATAATGTTTAAGACTGAATGCATGACTTTGATTCCACCAAATCCATTTTCTCACATGTAAAATTATGCCTTTGCAGATGACACAGTCTTTGAAAAATGGCATCTGCTATTTAATTGTTCTAGAAAGAGGATCAATGAATCAATTACTCTTATAAGATGCCTTTTATTTTGATAGAGAACTCCCAACTTTTAACCAATTTATTCTTTCAAAGTTTCCTTTTATATGTATCTAGGGATTTAATTTACAACATAACCAAAAAAAAAAAAAAAAGGCAGAGCTGAATATAAAGTGGAACTATCTTAAGTTACTTCCAAATGGCCAGAATAGTGTTTGGATGCAGTGACTTTTAAAGTCTCTGTTATTTGTGTGTGAGAGTATAGTGCCATCTTTTATTATTATTATTATTAGACCCCAAAGTAATTTTTCAGGCAATGTTTGAGCCAATTTATATGGTAATGTTATGTTTAGACAAATATTCTTATGAGAGGCTTCTCTTTTCTTAAGAAAATCTCACCCAAAACTTAATACTTGCAACCCATCACTTATTAATATATAAGCAGCCTATTAATGATATATACATCCAAAGCACATTAATTTGGGATATCAGTCTCGAATGCACTATGTCACAGATTTATCCTACGCCTTACTTGGGATAAAACACACAAAGAGGGATGTCTGAGATGTGAACTGAAAGATACCACATTTCTCCTTAAAACAAGCTAAAATTGGAGCACATGTTACTTGGATGGTTCTAGTAGCTCCCAAATCTAAGTCTCCTAACCCTTTCACAAGTAGCATTGTTTTATGAATGGCAAATTGATGCAAAAGCTATTGGCTTGTGTTTCAGGATGGTAAAACAGATGCATTCTAGAATTATTTGATTGACTCTAATATTGCCAAGAGATTATTTAACTTTTACATAATCTTTGTTTGAAAAAGTTCCTTGAGGAAATTTCTCTGTTTTTTGGTGTCTCCACTGTTCTTTATTTAAGCATAGTTGGTTTGTTCGTTTTTCTTTGAATGGGTCCAGTGAATGTTTGTGATTTTGACTCCTTCATTGTATTGAATGATGGCAAACATCAGGCTAAATTTACAACCTATTTGTAAAAGAATATAAGTTATTATGCATAAATTACATGTAAGTAATACTTTAAACAAACTGCTTAGGAATGTAGGGTATCAAATCTATATATTGTTAGATACAAAACCACACCGAAATAGTGAGACTACTGAGACCAGAATGATGGTAAAACCAGGCGAGGTTCCCTGGGCCACAAGGTCCACAGGCTGCTGCAGTCACACCTGCACTCAGCTGCACATTTCTTTAGTGGTGATGACTGCGCTTGATGCAAAGGTATGTGTTGTCTTCTGATTGGTCCACTTACATGAGTCCAGGACCGCTATTCCCCGTGGGAACTTTTGGCACCACCTAGGAGCTTTCTGCCTGCCCCCAGGTCCTCTAGGCTAACATATATAAACTATATTCCTGCCTTCATGTTATTTCCATACCATTATTTTATTTCACTTTTCTAATTATTAACCTACATAAGCATTTTATTTCTAACTTCTCAATAGCTTGTGGAACAAGGAAGCACATAAAACAAGGGGAAAGGAGAGGGAGAAAGACAGATATATTCCAGTTACAATCAAACAGTGAAATATGCTAATACAAATGATTATTTTGATATAGCTTTGTGTGGTAATTAGCTTTTAAAGGGGAAATATAATTCCTGACTTAACCCCCAAATAGATGCAATTTTGTCCATGAGTAGAAAAATTATGAAACAAAACCAGACTTTCATTACTCTTCTCCATTCTTCCAAGAGCTTTGGTCTTCAAAACTAAGTACAATAAACTCCCTATCATAACACAGTTTTACTTGAACCTGAATAACCTTGTTTTCCATGATATTTCAAGTTGAGAAAAGACAAATGGCCACATCGTATCTTCCAGAATAAAGACAGTTTATTCGTATATTCTCAGAAAACTCTAAATACTTCAAAATCGACTGGAAAAATTAATGAACTTAGAGGAATTCTTAGTAGTCAAAACCAAAGGTCAGCAAAGACAGCCTGGGAATCAAATCCATTCTTGCCTATGTAATACTACCTGCAAGCAATGTGGTTGCTAAATTGCTAAAAAAAAAAAAAAATGGGGAAGGGGTAAATTAAAAAAATATCTTTTGACATGCAAGAATCATGGAATTCAAATTTTAGGGTCACACGAAGTTTTACTAAAACACAGCCGTATTTATTGGTATATACTCAAAGTCCACATTTTTTTTTTTTTCTAAAGCAGTTGAGGAGTTGCAACAAAGATCCTGTGGCCCACGAAGCTGAGTATACAGCATTTTTTACAAGGTTATTAGTGGAAAGTAGAATTAAAAGATAAATTTATTTTAGTGCAAAGTATTTCTGGAATCCCTGAATAGTTTTATCATTAAGCACATTCTCCATGTATATTTGGAACATCAATGCTACTTTCTTTCTGATCTCTTACAGAGTAGTTTAAAGATCACTGTGTAAGATCATGGCTTGGGACACGATCACAACTCAGGCATTGCCCATACTCCAAGGGCTTTCTATACTCCAAGTTCCCCCCACCTCACGTTTCAGGGGAGAAAGCTCCTTCTTTCATGGTCTTTTATCAAATCATCCCTGTGGTTAGGTTTTATTCTGACACATGCAAAATTAGTTTCCCAATGCATATGCAGACTCGGGGACTGGCGGACAGGGGCAGGGAGCAGGTTACCATTCTCTGTTATAATGGGCATAAATTCCAAAGCCTGCCGTTTGATCACTTCCATGTCTGCCCTGTAAGACCACTCCATCATGATCGTCTGCTGGATGGTAAGAAAATTTACCTATCGTATTCTACAGAGGACATTAGGATTTTTATGGGTAAGTTTTAGTTTATGTGCTTTAATCCTTTCAAAATTTCAAAATGGGGTGATTCATTTCAACCCGTCATGCTCATCATTTCTTGGAGACACTTGGAGAAGGGACTGCTCTCTGCGATAGGAAATCTGCCTGCAGCCCATGGCTGTGTGAGCAAAGGGGGAAAAAAAGCAGCCTGGCTAACTTTGTTCAATTATTAATTCTTCCTTCAACAGTACAGAGATGTGACTGCTTTGCAGAGGAAATGTTCCTGTAGTTAGCTCCACCCTTTAGGGGCATCAAGCCCCTAAAAGGGAAATGATGTGACTCAGGATATGTCAGTATACTATTACCTGTGACTTGATGACCTGACGAAAGAAAAAAAAAAAAAGGAACATTTCTACAAGCAAAAATTTACCTCTTAACTTAGTTCCTTTATTTTTTAATTTTACACGACTTTTTTTCCAGCATATTTTAAGAGTTTTTAAGGAAGACATTAAAATGATGGTTGATTCCTCATATATTCAAAATCTTAACATCTGACTTCAATGAGGTAAAAACAAATTGACATATTCCACAGTTGCCTCTGTTACATTTAGGATTTCTTAATTTTTCTCTTTTCTTCAGTCATTTTAACATGACATGTCACGTATAGAGTTATTAAATGTGACCTATTTTCTCCCTTAATTAAGTTAGACTTTCATAATACCGTGACTCCCAGAGGGCAATTGCACCGTAACATGTATTTTCTATGCAGTGTTTGATCTCTCTTCTGTGCTCAGTGCTCTTCCCCTCTTCATTTAACTTTGTTTCTGAATCGTTCTCACAATCATGGGGAAGTCCCTTTCTCAAGTGCATCACATGATGTCAGGATTGCTCAGGGTTACAGAAAGTGTGTTGCGTTTTCTACAAGGGTTTACAAAACCCTGGTAGCTTCCTAGAGCTGCAAACCTCAAAGATACACTGAGAATCGGCTTTAGGCGGAGAGTCACTTTGGTTGTGCTGTGTCACTTTCCATCCATCCAGAAGCCAGACTTGACAACATAGAGATCTGGCTTGAAGAAGCATCTTGCATTTATTGATGTAAATAGAAAAACACTAACATGGGTGGGGTCAGTAAGAATCCAGGGAGTCTGGAATATATATTTTTTTCATTGGACATTGGGTTTTCATCTGTTGGTATGAGAGATCCCTTTCAATTCATTTCCAAATCTGAATGATTAGTTGATGATGTTTTTGAACTCCATTAATGCTTTATCCTAGTGTGTCTTACTGCAATTTGTGTAACTCACCCTTAATGACCAGTATAGCCTCTGACTATGTGGGTTTGACAGAAATACGTAATGTTTAATTAACTTTATTTCTTTAAATCAGTGCTGCAGATAAAAGTTAGAAGTAACTGAGATCTGGTCTTTGGAATTAGCCGGTTAGAATTAGAATGATCTTGCCTCCATGTTTGTAGCATTAGGACGCATATGATCCAGGAAACAGGACGTTATTTCCCAGAAATGTTCCTGTATAGACCTTCCAGAATGTTTCATGAGTCAGTCTTGGCAGTATACAGATGTGAAGCAGTCAGATCCGTGAGCTTCACAGGCAGAGGTTATTGATCATATAGTGACTATTAAAAGGAGGCTAAATACTCAATATGCTCTTTAATTGCTTTACTTCTCGCATTCCTAAATTTATATTATTCCAATTTCCCTTTCCAAAGAGGAGAAAATCTTGTTATGTTTTGTTGTTAGTGTCCTTCTTACATATTTGTTTTAAAATGTGTCACCCGTCAACACAAGTACTTTCAGATGAGAGTTGATATGTGTCCTACAGTTTGTTC